CCCCCCCCCCCAATCCTTGTTCTAGCTATTTCGCTCTCGTGGTTTCGCTCATCGACTATTACTTGTTTTAAATATGTGACATATCGCTTTACAACTTCCAGTGTGTCGCCACCTATCTAAAAGCACTGTTCACTGCCTCTAGACTGTTGTACGTTACTTTAGTTCAATCCATATTAGTCTTCAGACCTACTCTTCTGCTTTCCGTAACCAACTCAGTAATCATCAGTTGTAATTCGCCCCCGGAGTTACTCATCGATACAATGTAATCAGCGAATCGCAAATTACTAAGATGAGTACTCCCAATTACCTCTTATACCTAACTTGTCCTAATTTAGGACCACGAAAACTTCCCGTAAACATAATGTAAAAAAGAATTGGAGAGCCCTGCCTTACACCCTTTTTTATTGTGATTCTGGCGTTTTCTTTATGGAAAACTATGGTGGCAGTGGATCGGCTGTAGATTTCTTCCAGTATGTTTATATAGGCTTCATCGATACCCTGATTCCGCAGTGCCTGGATGACTGCTGATATCTCGACCTAATCAAATGACTTCTCGTAATCTATGAAGGCTATGTATAGGGGCTGGTTGTATTCCACGCACTTCTCTATCACCTGATTGAGTGTATAAGTATGGTCTACGGTTTAGTATAGCTTGTACGGAATCCTGATGGGTCCTTTGGTTGACTGAACGCTCATGTAATCTTTATTCGATTAGCGAACATTTTTGTGAATAGCTTGTAATCAACAGACAATAAGCTGATCGGCCTGCAATTTTTCAAGTCCTTGACGTCCCCATTGTTATGGACTAAGATGCTATTAGCATTCTTCAAAGATTATGGCCTCCTCTCCTTCAAGAGGCACAACGTATACAGGGTGGCCAGCTTTTTTAACGCAATCTCTCCACCGTTTTTCAACAGGTCTGATGTTACCTGATCCTCACCAGCGGCTTTGCTTCTTTGCATTCCCTCAAGGGCTTTTTTTTTTTCCTCTGTTGTTGATAGTGGTATGCACGATTCCTTTGCTTCACAGATTCTTACGTTATCATCCTGACACTCTCGGCTGCTGTACACATCTCTGTGGAACTCCTCCGCTACATCAATTATCCTATCCATACTGGTTGTGACTTTGCCTTCCTTGTCTCTTAACGCATACATTTGATTATTACCTGTGCAGTTTTGTCTTCCCAGCTTTGAGGTTTCTTCCGTGTTTCAGAGCAAGCACAATTCGCTCCATGCCGTATCTCCGTATGTCGGCTACCTTACGCCTTTTGATTAACTTCGAAAGCTCCGCCAGCTTTACTTTGTTGCATTTGAGGCTTTCATATTTTGACGCTTCTTAATGAGGTTTTTCGTCTCCTGGAACAGCTTGCAAGTGCTTAGTTGTACTGGCTGACAATAATTACCTTCATTCTTATGACGCATCATTCGTGCATGTTTGCTGGTTCCGCATTTGGGAAGTAGTTAGCGATATTATTTGCCTGTGGGCAGGGAAGAAAATGCTATACTTGCTACTTATTACTTGCTGTGCAAGCGGAATCCATCCGCTTGACGGATCCGCAACAGGTTGCGTTCGACAGCATCATATTACTTTCATTATTACCGGCAGAAATTCGCAATCTGCTGATTTGTAATTGAGAGAGGAATGGGCGATGTTTGAGCGCTAAAATGTGCCGAACCCAAGAAACGAAGCAGTAAGAAAACATTTTGCGCGTTAATTCTTGGCATCTTTATGGAGTCGTGCAATGATGTAGACGATAGCAACGATATCGTCCCTGTATTCACTACTCAATTCAGCAAACTAAAAACAAAAAAGAAAAAATAATACAGCGTAGGCAAGCTGTCGGATAGCTCTGCAGTACAATCAGAATTCATAAATTACACACAATATTTGGTAGGCTAAATAATTTAACGCGCATTCTGCGCGCCTTTGATGGTTCCTGCATAAACTGAACATACTACAAGATTTCATCCACGATTGACATCGCGAAAATCACGACGCCTCCATTCAAATGGTTACGTTTGAAATAAGAATAAAAAAACACACACCCTCCCCCCTCTTCACTTAGACTAATCTATTGCAATAACGCGCACACCCCTACGCCACTGGATGTTTTGTTTTGCGTAACTGCACGGTGAGTGATCCGATAAGCCCGTTTCTTACGCCACCAAGGGCAGGCCGATACTAAATGCGCTATATAGGTCAAGCATAAATATTCACGAGGGCAGCCGTGTATCCCTCCTCCAGAATTCCAAGGCGACGTCCTCACTTCTTGCATTGCGGGAGTATCACAATGCGCCGAACCAAGGGAAGTTGGCAAGCTTGGCGCCTGTGCATCTCAAACACGCTCCCCGCAGGTGCACACGGAATAAAGTTTTGTGGCTGATTTTGCCAGATAACACTCGCATTATTTTCTTGTCTATATAGCAATTTATGCCGCTTTGTTCGGGCAGGCTGCTGAAACGGGACTGGTCTCGAGCATTTCGTTTTTTTTTTTCCTTAGGCACCCCATGCAGCCACTGCTAGGTGACACATCGCCTTAGGACAAGACTATGTTTCAGAATTGGCGTAGATATATTGGTCAATATAGATGTGCAAATCTGTATAGATAGGTTTTCGAAACCTGACATGGGATATGTGGAAGACGGTCGTTCAACGACACCGTTAGGTCATTTCGTTCAAACACTATCTACCCTTTCATCCACACCTACCTCTCCCACCATCTCCACTTTCCCGTCCTTTGCGGGAATGAACTTCCGTGACTGCAGCTTGCTAGCTGAGGAAAGTTTAATATTTGTCGAGCGAAAGCAAAGACAAGTTCTACCACGAGCGCGTTGCATGGATGCTAATATGCATAATTGCAGACGACTTAACACATTTCGGCACAGTTAAGACCCCTTGCCTTCTTCTCCAACATCATTTTCACGCATTGGGCACGTCTACTTTCCTTTAGAACCACCGCGGTGGTCCAGTGCCCAAGTACTCAGCTGGCGACCTGGGATCGAATCCCGGCTGCGGCGGCTGCGCTTTCGATGGAGGTGAAAATTATGTAGGCCCGTGTGCTCAGATTTGATTGATTGATATGCAGTGTTTAACGTCCCAAAACCACCATATGATTATGAGAGACGCCGTAGCGGAAGGCTCCAGAAATTTTGACCACCTGGGGTTCTTTAACGTGCGCCCAAATCTGAGCACACGGGCCTACAACGTTTCCGCCTCCATCGGAAACGCAGCCGCCGCAGCCGGGATTTGATCCCGCGACCTGCGGGCCAGCAGCCGAGTACATTAGCCACTAGACCACCGCGGCGGGGCATGTGCTCAGATTTGGGTGCACGTTAAAGAACCCCAGGTGATCGAAATTTCCAAAGCCCTCTACTATACGGCATCTCTCATAATCATATGGTGGTTTTGGGACGTTAAATCCCACATATCAAATTACTTTCTTTTTACGCAGTGGTACGCATTCTTAACTTAGGTAGCTAGACTCGACTCCATCCAGATGTCCGCAACACCACCGCCTCCATGTTATTAGCTAGCTGTAGTGCAAGGTAGCCAGCATCAAACGCGTCACTTTCGAAGGAACGGTGTGCCCTTCTTACCCCGCCTCCTCAATCACTCGGTTGCGTACCTTCTTTTCCCTATGTAGCAGCTCCATTTCGTTCGACGGACGTTGCACTGGTGTGAACCGTGCGGGTGCACTTACAATTATAGAACTTTTAGAAGGCGAACATAGGATCTCTGCCTGATTCGCTTAGCCTGCACTTCCGTAAGTGACGCCTTCACGCAGAACGAATATTCTAAGACTCACTATACTTGCATGACTTCTGTGGCGATGCCCGGCCGCGAACATGGGTGAGTGCTGTGGATTGACTGCACACCGATTTCTATACACTGGCAGATGCGCTGTGCAATAGAAGAGCACGATGATGGAGGCGGAAATGTTGTAGGCCCATGTGCTCAGATTTGGGTGCACGTTAAAGAACGCCCGGTGATCGAAATTTCCGGAGCCTTCCACTACTGCGTCTCTCATAATCATATGGTGGTTTTGGGACGTTAAACCCCACATATCAATCTATCAGAAGACCACGATGGTTTTCAAGATATACTAAGTGAAATATGTCGCAGTCTTCACATTATTGCCACGAGATGACGTGGACAGTAATCGAACATGTATGACGAGATTAAAAGGCGAAACTTCCCCCTCCCCCTTTCTTTTTTTTGTAATACCATTACATTTGTCACATCTGTAAACACATTCCTCCAACCGGGGTGAAAATTCTTAGTTTTTGCCCTATTACCAAAAATGACAAAATATATAAAGATCCTAAAATTTTCTTTTTGGGTGGCACCACTACATCGAAACAGAGCGCGCTAAAGGCAAGACACGTGAACATCCATAGACGTGTCACGTGGCGTCACCATGCTGAAGAATCAAGTGCACGGCCTACGTGCTTAGGATGTAATGCCCGATTGGAATGATACGCAGCGCTCAACTCACTAGTTGCGTCGGTCCTGTTTGGTTCAAGGCCGCGACTTCGCATTCTCCAAGGGGTAAAGGGGTTGCGAATGTGCGCTGAACGTCTAATGGGAAAGGGAGCCGTCTATACGTTTCAGCGAAAATGTGCCTAGTTGCATATCGGTTATTCCAGTAGCGACTGTCGCCATCCACACCAGTTCAGCCCCGATAGTGCATCGACGCATCCCTGTGAATGGCAACATCATTACAACCATACCGGAAAGGATTCCGAGAAACTCGATAGCGAAGGCAACAGCAAATAAGGAATTTGTTACAACGGTTGGGATACACAACTAGGCTGTAACTCCGTTAACGCAATACATGACGCTTACACCAAGCATATTTTCTAGCCATACTTTAGCAAAGAGCCCCAAGCTTTCAACGAATGCAGTTGCCGCTTCATCAGCTGTTGTGTTCAGCCCATGTACTTGCCACAGGCTCAATCACCAATGCGTTACGCACCACAGGAGGAATCACATGTACTACGTACGTGGCCTGATGATTCTTGTATTTTTTTATTGTTATGTACAAACAGCTTGCATTCTCTTCGGTTCTGTTAGTGACGTCCAGCATATAGCAAGCGCCTTTTTTTTTTTCGTGTGAGGGGTCACGTGACACAGAAAGGAGGGCAGGAGGAGGCAGGGAGGCACAGAGCAGAGAACTCGGACGCATGTTCACGATGCTTGTCGGGCCGCGTCGTTGTTGGTAGGGACAGCGAAGGAACGAAGACTCAACGAGAAACACACAAAGATACTAACAGCTTGTGCAACATTAAAAAAAAAAAAGGCATTGAGACTCATCCACCGGGGTTAGGTTGAGGCGCTTAGTTACGGGGAATGCTGACCCGCATGAGCGTTCGGAGCTGCTGCCGCAACAGTCGGTTGAAAGCTCGAAAGGAACGCGCATGAGATTCTCGCAAACTACGAGCGCGGGCTCAGGGAACGTCTCACTTGTCCCGGAGGAAAGAAGCAAACGCGCACAGAGAAAGGAACAAACGAGGCATCCCTGCATTGGAGTCCCGTCACGGACTCGACAAGGGGGGAAAAAAAAGTGTGCGAAACACAGCATGCCGAGCAGCCTCCGGCTCGCCAAAACAGGAAACGCATTTTCATTTCAACCACATCCACTCCACCAGTCTTCTTCGGACGCAGCTAGCGGACGCAGAAGAACGCACTCTTCTGGCTCGACATCAGTCCCAAGCAGCGCCCTTGGAAGCGGGAGCTCTGGCACCCCTACTCTTGCCGCAGCTGTCGAAACAGTTTCGCTCGTCAGCAAGCCACTGGGCCTACTAGTTGGGTGAGGCTATGCACACACCCACTAGGGGGCATCAGAGTCAATCATCGGCTACGGAGCCCGCTAAACGTGCCAGACTCGCGCTCGAAGCCGCCGACGAGCGACAAGCACCGGAGTTAGAACGCATCAGAGGCGGCGAGCGAGGTCAAAATCGGCGCACGCGCTCATATGTCTCAAGAACGACGTCTCGTTCGCGAGTGCGCCGAGGTCCCCGCCGCCACTGACGCCCTCTAGTCCACCCGCGGCGCCCCGAGCGGTAGCAGACCACATGGACCACCAGGGAACTCCACGACGCCAGCTGGTAACGGCACACTCTGGTCGACCGCGGGAAGCAGAAGGGAACGAGGGAGGGCGCGATGCGTCTGCTAACCGACGCGCTCGTTCTTTTGAAGACGAGAAAAGAGGGCAGGAGGGGAACAGAAAGAAGGGTATCGTTAGAAGGGAGGCACGGGGAGGAGGAGGAAGGGAAAAAAGAGGTGAGAGAAGCGATACAGTTGGCAGCTGCGGGTCTCCTCCGCTCAATGCCAGCCGGGTCGACCCAGGTAGACGCTGCCATGGCGCAGGAACCCCTGGAACACGGCGTGGTGGCGCCCTGGGCGGGGGGTGCACACGCGCGCGCATAAGTACACACCGATCCCACGCGAACATGCTACGTGCATGCAGACACACAGACGCACACACATACATAAAAGCAAATAAGTACACGAAGGTCAGATTGGGCGTACCGACATCCTGTTTCTTGACGCGGGAAAGCAACGTCTGCAAAGGAGATACGAAGCTGGCTTCCAACGCTAAAAAAAATATAGGCGCTCAAATAGCAACTGGATATAGTGAGTAGGACGTCCTCGGTACTAGCCCGAGACCCGATTGCATATAAGCTCGCGTGACACTGCTCTTGCTGTACTTTTAGCCGCCACTCGGGCGCTAGATACAATCACGAGTCTCCACGGAGCCTGATGGCAATAAGTTTTGAATCAATCAATCAGTTCGTATGTTTGGGAAAGTGCCACCACAGGTCACGCAGTCTGTCCATGTTTACTGACCTACCTTCAGCTCAGTTGTTTGTGGCCATGACGAAAATCGTAGCTCGGATTACTAGCCATCGTATCCACTACGAGGACATTACAAGTTGCCTCACATTAGGCGCGCCACTGATACGACTAAACATATCATATGTGGGTCATATGTGGGTCACAGCTTCACGGCATGTTTTCAGCTACAGCCAATGCGACAAGACGCTGTTACAATGCACAGATGTGGGTGCCCAATGTTTTCCAAATGCTCGCCGGGATTACACCCATATTCTGGTATCAAAGCAACAGTTGTTCAACCTCGCCATAACCAAGACTCTTGCCATGCACAGGCACATGTGTGCATCTTTCATAAAGATAACAATGATACTCGCACAATTCTAAGCTAACACCCATACCTTTATGCCAACACCATCCAGATTTCAGCACTCGGCGATGTCAGTCATGAATTCAGCCCACCACACCCCAAACTAGATATCGGGCAGACTAGGGACTGACGCCGGATACTATCACGTACCTCAATCTACTAATCCTCAACGAAATCCACCCAACGCCGTACCCGGACACATGTCCATGCTGTTGAGAGCGGCCATCTCTTACCCACCCAAAATTTATTCTTTCTTATTAGGCAGAAGCCAATTTGAGAGGCAGTGAGAGGTCTAGCGTGCGAGCAAGGATCTAGAGAGCCCAGTTGCTCTGCTCGATCAGGCCCAGCAAGCCGCAAAGGCCAGCGGAGCTCTGAACTAGGGGACCCTACCACCTTTACCCTTAATTTTCTCTAGTACAATAAAGTTTCTACTACTACTGACCATGTAGTGAAAACCTCAACAAATATCTGCTCTACGAAAAAAGAAAAAAAATCAATCGAGGTTCCCTTCCGTCTAAGCCAAGGAACAAGTATTGATTGATACAATGCACTCCTTGCCTACCTTATTAGGTTATATTACACGCATTTATGTGCAATGGATTAAAGCATGGGCTTGGGAGGTCATTTCATTTGTAACAGCACTACGTTCCTACAACACAAAAACACCATTTAGCAGTGAGAAGATGCCTGGAAGTGCAGGAAAAAACAAATCAATACCACCATGAAGTCTATGCATCAGCTAGTCATGAAAGTCATCGATTATGAAGGGAATAGCGACTCGATTTTAGGAAACTTTTACTGAACCAGTGGGACCAAAACACCAACCCATTGAAATACATGACATCACAGTGATGTCCCCCTATGTTGGAGGCAGGCAAAAAATTAAAGCAAAATGGACCTGCACACTTCAATATATATAATTACAACTTGTATTGCCAATTTCCAAGTTTTGAAAGACTTAATGTCTCATTTTAGTGTCTGTATGATGTGGCTGAATTGCAAGATCTGTTTTTGCATTTTGACCTGCATAGAGATATGGGTTGTGTTACGAACTCAAAATGACAAGTGAATCCGGGCTCTCTGGTTCACCACACGCACAGCTACTATGAAAAATTCTGGCTGCCTGGCGCTACTATAGTTTTAGTCCTTCATACCAAGGTGTGCCTGCACAGATAACACTTAATTGCATGTAGGATGCATCAACGCTCAAAGAATGTTTATGTGAACAGGTTGTGCAGCACTTATTCAAATGATACCCCATGAATGAAAATATTAGCAATTAACAAAATGTGGAACTAATTATTTAGCCCAAAACTGCATGTTTACTCTTGATGTCCTAACATACTTTAACAGCTAGGTTACACCACTTATGCAGATACAATGATAACAAGAGGCAAGTGTACAGTCTGACCAACTGACGTTGCCAATGCCTAAATCCCACGGACACTTCAGCATTCAGACAGCACACTATCGCAGAACATAATGCTTGGCATTGAAGCAACTTGGAAGTAGGCGTGCCACCAACTGCTTCTCTACGGCTGTTGCACATTTGTTGCCCGGTGCAGCTCAAGTATTCCAAATGGCTATGAGAACACTTCAAAACTTCATAAAAATTTCATGAAAAACGCCTGCACCAGCCAAACAGTATATATTAGAACGTGTATATTAGACCAGGCACTCGAAGCATCATTTCTGACAAGCATGTCAACACACTCTGTAGTAGCTTTTAGAGAAAGCTTTGCTGGGCTCGATAACACATCAAATCGCACATGGGCACTGCAAAGATAACTATACCAACATGGAGGCTGGTTCAGTAGCGTTCGGTAACAGCCCTTGGTGGAGGTAAAGCTAGGCAAGCCAGCACTCAATTACAGGGTTCATATCATTATGAAACATCACAATGAACCTAATTGCAATGTTCCCAATATGGCAAGACCAATACTATCAACCAAAGATTACCAGGTCTGGCACTGCATAGGATTCCCATCTTGACAAATGTTTACGCTTTTCCCAGAGCTGCTCCGCGACTTTTTAGTTCGACTGCATTCAGTTTCTTTGCTTTCTATAAGTGCTAGTAAAACCTCTGGAGAAGGAATAAGTCTTGCTCCATCCCAGTTTTTTTGTTCACATCCCCCTCAGAAGCAACATTTTTTGTTGGTTTTTTTTCTATAAATTTCGTCGTGCAAAAGCAAGCGACACTAAAACACCACTGCTTTCATGATTCATGGAAACTTTCATAGGCAAGTTATCAAAAAATATGTTTCACAAGCAAACCAAAAATTGAGCTTTTCTGAAAATCTTTATATCCCAGACTCTTTTCTGCATTTCGCTACAACTGAAGTAAACAGATGTTTACAAAAATATAACATTCCGTTATAGCAAACAATTAACAAAAATGATGTTGCTAATTAGGTGAGGGATGTCTCCATGTTATATTACCAATGTCTGTAAATTTTGATAAACTTTTCCTTCGAGAAACATAGCCCAGACCCACAAGGCCCCAAGCTCTGCAAGCTTTTATTTTTTATCACACTTTATGAATGTTGGTCAAGTTTTCCCAAAACTTCCATCGGAGTGTTGGAGACTATGGTGCCACCAATGTGTGTTGTTATAGCCACAAACGCTAAACACACCACAGTCATTCATAGGTAAATTTCTAATAAACGCATCCTTTACAGACATTGGATAGAACAAGAATGTTGCTAACGATTTCACAACGGTCATAATCAAAACTGCATACAGTGGCTACTTGAATGATGCATACCATTACATATTGCTCTTTTCAATAGGCAAGCAGCTTGATCTCCTCCCTCCCACCGCAGCCCCCCTTTTCTTAAAAAGCATAGTTGGTCTACAGTACAAAAGTGCCAAAAGCAATGATCTCGACTAACAAGGACTAAGACCGTAATCGATTACCACATGCTAAATACTTTTAGTTTGTTATGTGGCATCTCATAATCGTATAGTAGTTTTGGGACCTTAAACCCCACATATCAATCAATCGTTATGTGCTCCTCAAATGGCAAATTTATATTTTATCATCATTGTCCCCATTGTACTATGAGTGTAACAATGCCTACAGAAATAAAATATGTGCAATACGTAAAGTACAAACATGCAGCAGCGATATTCAACAGGACAGCTAATCTTGCCAGGGTGTATATGCGTGCGAACACGTATGTGGGATAAGTTGAAAGCAGGAATGATAAAAAAGTACAATTAACAATAAAAGTTCCCCATCTCCCAGAATAGCTTGTTCTCAAAATGAACCAGACGTATAAATGAAAATATTGGAAAGCAATACTAGTAAAGAAAATGAACACATTTGATGTCCATCTTAAGCTCAGCTGGAATTTGAATACGCCCGCACAGCACAGCTTAGTATACTGTCAAGAGAAAGGGATTACTGATGACAAAGTACCACGCCCTTCAGGACCTAAGGCACGCACGCCTTTCAAGAGGTGCCACTGAAGCATTCATGGCACACTATAAAGGTATGTGAAAGAAGCCATCTGGAGCGCAAGGCTCCAAAAGATACCTCCATTTCATGATCGGATATTTTTTAGCAACAATGCAGCTGCTTCAACCCCCATTCTTAACTTACCTGTGCTGTTTCTTTAACGATAATGACAGGGAAAACAAACTAATAACAAGGAGTCAAGGAAATTATTCTGGCAACCAAATATATTAAGACAGAAAAATAAAGAAAGCAGGAAAACTGTGAAAGAGACAACACATGCATGATTGACCTTTCCTTGTGCAAGAACTTTATTTGTTTCGAGAATTTTTTCTCTTTTTATCAACAGTACTGCAGACATAGTCTGACCAGCACGCTCAGAGAAAAAGAAAACATTATATAAATATGCCTCTGTTTTTGGCAAGCAACAAATAATCAAACAAATCCAGAACGAAGGCATTTTCCCAAACACCACCACACGAGACATGCACACAGTGACCCTGTCGCAGGGGAACGGGCAAACAAAATGCACAGGAGAGCAAAAGAAGCAACAGGATATGTTTCGCAGTTGATGTGCGCATCCATGAGCTGGTAAAACAAAAACAAAAACAAAAAAGAAGACTAAGCGGCATACGGAATGAGTGCATTATGTGACTAAACTATAAAAAAAAAGCCATTGGTTATCACTGGAAAAAATCCCAAGCCGACAAAAAAAAACCGCACAGGTACACGTGCAA